TCTAAAGGGTTTTACTGCTTCCACACACACATTCTTTGCTGATTTGAACATCCTGAAAGCCCAGGATGTGTGTGCCAATGCTCTGCAAACTCCAGGGCCGGTTCTTGCAGGGTTTTCCTCACAGGGTCAGCTCACAAAAAGAAGGTCATTCAAAAGACAAGTGATGTTTAGAAACTGATAACCACGGATCCTGCTGAAAGGGATTTGATTTCCCCATCTAAAAGGAGATCTTTGATTAGTGACTGATGGGGCAACTTCAAAAGCTCACGGGGTCTGGCTGAGATAAGCATTCAAACCTGGGATGCTCCTTCCCAAAGCCTCTTTGATCTGGAATTAAAGCTAGAAATCTTGCAGGCTTTATTGTGCGATTTCCAGTGGTTTTAATGATGTACCAGGCACAATAGGATCCACCTGGATTTCCCTCTCCTGCGGGGAAGGGTTTTAGCTCTGGCTTTCCGGGCTGTGGAGGACTCCAGGTCCTCACAGCATGATGAAGCTCATTTTGGAGTTGGAGGGGCACCGAACCCTCTCTGTTTTGGGGTGATGGCAGCGAGCAGGGGTCTGACCCTCGTGGCTGCTGTACAAGGTTTGCTCCCCGTCACAGCAGTGGCACAGACGGAATTCCTCATGCTGGGAACTCTGAACCACGGCCTTTGCTGCTGGTCAAAGGCACTGGGTGTTACTGGGGCCCCACCCGTTTGTTGTCCCTCAGACAGGTCTGGAAAGAGACCCCCCACTCCTGTCTCCCCACCCAACCTTCCCCGGGGTCTGTCCCCACTCCCTGTGCACTCACAGCAGCCGTGGGCAGCAGGCTGGGGGCTGAGTGCCCTCCCACCCTGAGGAGGCACACACGGGGGCACTGCCAGTCCCCTCCTGGCGCCTGAGCACAGAGTGTGTCACACCTGGAAGTAATTAGAATGAATTTTTACTCATTCATAGCTAATTGCACAATTACTCTCCTATGAAAGCTTCAGCTCTCAGAAGACACTTCAACACATGAAATGAGTTTCTCTGAATCTGGCTCGAAGAATCGCGTGAAAGCTCAGGCTGGATCCTAAACATCCTTTTCTTTTCAAATTGAGTCATTCCTTCCCAACCCAGTCCAAAGTGCTGCCTGGGAGGGTTTCCAGAGTAACCCCCAGGAGAGGGCTGAGCTGTGTCCCCAGGACCCACTGTCCCCGAGATGGCAGAGTAACCCCCGGGGTGTGTGACAGTAACCCTCAGGGTGTGACAGTAACCCCCAGGGTGTGACAGTAACCCCTGGGGTGTGTGACAGTAACCCTCAGGGTGTGTGACAGTAACCCTCAGGGTGTGTGACAGTAACCCTCAGGGTGTGACAGTAACCCCCAGGACCTGCTGTCCCCGGGCTGTGTGACAGTAACCCCTGGGCTGTGACAGTAACCCCCAGGACCCGCTGTCCCTGGGGTGTGTGACAGTAACCCCTGGTGTGTGACAGTAACCCCAGGACCCGCTGTCCCTGGTGTGTGTGAGAGTGACCCCCAGGACCTGCTGTCCCTGGGGTGTGTGACAGTAACCTCCAGGATGTGACAATAACCCCCAGGACCCGCTGTCCCTGGTGTTTAACAATAACCCCCAGGACTCGCTGTCCCTGGTGTGTGTGAGAGTGACCCCCAGGACCTGCTGTCCCTGGGGTGTGTGACAGTAACCCCTGGGCTGTGACAGTAACCCCCAGGACCCGCTGTCCCCTGGGCTGTGACAGTAACCCCCAGGACCCGCTGTCCCCGGGCTGTGTGACACCCGGACAGGCAGCAGGAGCTCTCCCTGTGCTCCCTGCTCCGCTCAGGGCCAAGCTGAGCTGCCAGGCCCCGTCCCCGTGCTGGGGGTGCTGTGCCCGTGCCAGGCTGGGATGGGGCCGTGCTGGGGGTGCTGTGCCCGTGCCAGGCTGGGATGGGGCCGTGCTGGCAGCCCCGGCGGGCGCAGGAGCCGTGTCTGCCTGCAAACCTCCCCGACCCACTTCGAGGCGCCTGACGCGCCGTCGAAATCTCCTGTGCACTTGCAAATGATGTTTACTATTTAATAAGATGTGATGAGACTGTTCTGATACTTCAAAGGCAGCTGACAGTTTTGTTAGAAATAATCAAGGAACTTTTGGACAATTATGGTGAAGGCTTTGACAGCAAGAAAACGCACAAACCTTGTAACTGTAACCAGCACCAAAGTCAGAGACTCTTCCCTGGAAACAACTTGAATATTCATTTTATCCATTAGGCATCACTTTTTTATTTATTTATTTTCATTCCATGCTTTTTATGTCGCTTTGCTCCCTTCATGCCCGGGAGAGCTCTTTTCTTGTTACAAGATGTGAATCTTCCACCTTCTTGAACCTCCCTGTCTCCCAACAGGCGAAGGCTTTCAGAGCTCTGCTGTCTCCCTGTCTGGCTGCTGCTGCTCTGGTGGGAAGTGGGGGGGACACGCAAAGGTCCCCATTTTGCAGGGTTTTAAGGCACCCAGAAACTCCAGGCTTTTCGTAAGGTCCCCAGTAGCAGTGGCAGCAAGGCCATGGGCTGAGTCCGGTCAGCAGAAAAAATCCTGAGTGACTTCCGAGGGATGGGGCCAGACTTGGGCAATAAAAAATATCCGAAATTCAGCCAGGGTTAGTAAAACTTCAACATCCCTTGGAAGCATCCAACAGAGCAGGTGAATAGGAAGGAAACGCAGCTGAGCTCTTCCTCTGGGTCATCCAAGATGCTGATTTCCCCTAATATTGATTGATGCTCAGCCTATAGACACATTGTCAAGCAGCCACACAGGGCTGTTCTCCAGCTGACGTGCAGGGAGAGCATTTCATTTAATCACAAGCCTTCCATCAGTCAGGCCAGCCAGGAGGAAATTTGATAACATGGATGTAAAACTAAAGCCTCTGATTTAATAAGACTTTTGGGTGGAATTAGCGGGGACGCGCAGTGGCACCAACGCGCCCGGGTGAGAATTGCAGGGATGACAAGACTCCAGCAGCAGATCCAGCACCTCATTATCCCATTAGCAAAGCTGGGAAGGCAGAATTGCTGATGGGAGAGAACTCTTGGGTGGTATTAGACCAGCTCTGCCTGCGCCCTGAGGCGGATGGACATGAGGAGGTGAAGCCCTGGGGTGTCCCTGCCTCTTCTGGGGGTCAGGCCCCACCTCCAGGTGCACCCCAGCCTGGGGGGCTCACTGGGTGCTCTGTGGAGTCCTGGGCTTTGCCAGAACGAGTCCATTATCTGTTTCCATCCCCATCACACCCTGTTGAGCTTTCTCCAGCCTCTCTGGCCATCCCTGACCCCCCTGTGCAGCGGCCCCAGCCCCACACTCCTCACCACAGCCCCAGTAGTCACTGGGAGAAATAATTGGCCAAAGATTAGCGTGTGTGATTGAATGGCAGGGGCTTTGTGTACCAAACAGGGGCTTGTCTTTGTCAAAAAGTCTTTACAAAGTATCCGGCGCCGGGTGTCAGGGAGGACAAGTTTTTTAATCATGTTAAAATGATTTATTTAAACGTCAAGCCATGTCACCTCACTTCCTTTCATTTTTCAAACTGTTTGTGTTTTTTCTGGATGATAAATTTATCTTCAGACAGCCTCAATATGACTAATTAACTTTGAAATATAAGAACCAGATGTGTGAGCTGGAGAGCTTTCTGAACTCATGCCAGGAGCGTTTTTTCCCTCTCCTCTCCCTTTCCCTGCACTGAAATTGCTCTGCAGACACTCAGGGCACATGGAAAAATGCAGTCAGAGGGATGGCCAGGCCCTGTGCCCACTCCTGCCCAGCCCAGGAGGTGTTTGCTGCTGGCACCGTCCTGCGCTGCCCGGAGAGGGGCAGGACATCCCTGCCGGGAGGACTCGGGATGTGGGAACCAAGCTGCCACGGCTCCTTTGCCACATGAAAGGAAATCAAGGCTGGATGTGACACAAAGTGACTTCTTTGAAAGAAAATCCCGCCGTGTGAAGTGGGTCTTCCCCTTCTCCTCTTTTCACGCAAGGATTGCTCGCAGCCACTCGAAGAGGGAATTTATTTAGCGATTAATTAAGAAAAGCTTCGTGAGGTGCGTTCTCATCCCTGCTGCAGGAATCCTGCTGGAAGCAGCCCCAGACCCACGGCGAGGGGCAGCCCCCAGTCCCCTGAGGGAGGACAGACAAGGGGACAAGGACTCATGCTGAGGGGACAGGAACAAACGTCCCCTCTGCTCCCCTGGCCTGAGCAAACACTGCCCAAGCCTGGAGCGTGAGGATGGCGGTGGCAGCAGGGAGTTGAGCACCACCACGGGCTCTGGGTCACGGAGAGCAAGGCCCAGCTGCACAGATCTGCCCAGCTCAGGAAGGGAAAGGAGCTTACAGGTCACGAGCAAAGCCTTCCCCAGCCATGCCCCGGGCTGGGGCAGCACCTGGGGCAGTGCCAAAGGGCTCCTGAACCAGAGCCATGCTGTGAGATCCACGGGAAAACCCTGGGATGGGCAGAACGTCCAGCTCTGCCCAGGCCCTGGGAACCTTCGGGGCTGAGATCAACCCCAGTATCTCCAGAGGAGAGAGGGTGAAAGGACCTTTTCCACCCCTTTTTGTGGCTCTGGAGTTTGGAGAGGAGAGAGGGTGAAAGGACCTTTTCCACCCCTTTTTGTGGCTCTGGAGTTTGGAGAGGAGAGAGGGTGAAAGGACAAGACCTTTTCCACCCCTTTTTGTGGCTCTGGAGTTTGGAGAGGCCCATCAGGAACCACAGCAGGCTCTGTTCCCAGAGCTGGGACCACGATCCTGCCCCACAGCAGGGCCCCGTGCCAGGTCCCCACACCAGGTCCCCGCGTCACTGGGGAGCGCCGCTGCCTGCCAAGCAAACATCAACAAACGTCTTTTCAGCCAAAACAGATTTTTCAAACAAAGTGTAAATATTCATGAAAAAATGTTGGTTTCGGTGGAGATTTTCCTGATCTTCTTGGAACTGGTAATCAAAATAATGTTTTTTAAATTGCGGGGTTTTTTTTTTTTTAAAGAACTTCTTTTAAGTTTTCATTTCAACAACTCTAAATTTATTCCATGAAAAAACTTCAGTTAAAATTATTGGGTCGGAGTGGTGAAGGAGATGGCTGCTCTTCCTTGGCAATTCCAGCACGAGGCCTTTCAGGAGCTGCTGCCCAAGAGCCGGAGGGTGGGAGGTCGCTTCTGCTGCCTGCAGCTTCCCAGGCTGGTGGGGCAGAGCATGTCCGTGTGTCCGGCCCCAGTCTGCTCCGTCTGTCCGAGCCCAGCACTGGGAACGTTCCAGGGCTTCAGCAGCTCAGCCCCAGCTGGGTTTGCACACCCAGCCCCTCACTCTGGGCAGCACCGGGGCCTGGGCAGCAGCTGATCCCAAACACATCCCAAGAAGGGGTTTAGGCACAGCCCAGAAGGGCCCAGACCAGAGCAGCGGTTCATGCAGCAAACTGCCAATGCCACGAGGAAAAACACCTGGATATAGTGTTTGTACACCCAGGGATGTTCCCCCAGGCTTCCTGCAGCCCCTGGAGGCTCTCTGAAGGCTGTCAGGGCTGCGGAGGGGGCAGGAGGAGGATGCTGGTGGCAGGTCCCCATCCCCTGGCCCAGCGCCTCGTTAGGGCGATAACGGAGCGTTTCCAACCAAGCCGAGCCTTCACCCCTCCCCACGCCTCAGCCCTGCCCTAAATATCCATAACAAGCTGGGGAAGGCAGCCGGGAGCGCCGCAGCCGTCAGCGGATGTTGACAGCCTTGATGTCTTGGCGGGCAGGATCCAGCAGCATCTCCCACTGTATGGCGCTAGATATTTAATAAAGTAAAACCCCCAGGATCAAGCACGCTGCAATCCCTCCCAGCTCCTTTCTTCTGCCTTGCTCGAGCTCTTTCAAGCCTGCCTTCCGTCTCTCTCCAGAAAATCCTTTCATGCCTCCCTCACCAGACTGACATTTTGACAAGTTGCCACGAGTGACATCTGATTTGTACAAATTTCAAGACTAATAAATCTACCTGTCAAAGCGGAAACTTTAAAAGGAGCTAAGCCCAGCGGGTATAGTTTAACAGAACTCAAGTTGATGAAACTGTAGGATGGAGAAATTATATCTGTCACAATCCACCCACATTAGTTCTGTAGAGATGTTGGCAACTGAAACAAACGTCTTTCACAGCCTTGAAAAAAAGGGGGAAAAAAAATAAAAGGAGACTGTTAATACTGTGAGTAACAAGTAACAGTTCTATTTGTAAACTAGCAAATTTATTTATTTAATTTTTAATTTGCCTGTAGACACGCGAGGAAGGGAGCAACCCCCCCTTACCCCACACCCCCCGCCCCCTCGGCCCGAGGTCTGGGGGCTTTGAGCCCCCCACTCTCCCCAGCTCCTCGCTGTGTTGTGGCAGAGTGGGGATGTGCTGGTGCAGGTGCCTGGGAAGCTGCAGCTCCCACTGGGGCCATGGGACTCGGTGCTGTCCCGCTGGATCCAGCCATGAAACCCTCCCAGGGAAAGCCTCTCCTCACCCTGAGCCTGGTGGGACGAGTCACCCCCAGCCCTTCTGTTCTTCACTGGCCTTTTGGTGGCATTTTCGGGTTTTTGCTGGTATTTTCTCTCTGCTGTGGTTCCCCACCCGTGCTGGGCCCTGGGATACTCAGGGAACGCTCTGCCTCTGCCAGACTCACCCCCATCCACAACCCCAAAACTTTCCAAGGGCTGTGCTCGACTTTCTTCCCTGTCTGAGGCTGGTGAGCCCAGGAGCTGTGAGCACCCAGGGCTCCATCCCCTGCTCTGTGCAGAGGCAGCAGCAGGACTGAAGGAAAGGAAACACAAACCCTTCCCATTCCCTACCTTGGACACAGGCATTCGGACCCTGGTTGAAACTTCCTGGTGGGTGTTTGATGAGATGAGGAGGCATCCAGGCACTCCAAGGGAAGGCGATGAGTCCTCATCCCTGGCTGAATTCCCTTTTTTATTGGATCTCCTCTTCGAGGCACACAGACGTGAGCAGCCAGTTCATTCTGCCTGCTGGAAAGAGATTGATTTGGAAGTCACACATTGCATGAAACTCCTGTAGCCACGTCTGCAGCACTGAGAGTGTCTCCAGGTGGATCTAATGACTGAGAGAAACCTCGCAGCTGAATATTTATGACAGCTGGTGTGGTTAGAGCTTGCCCATCTCCCTTCATTACAGGGGAGGCTGCAATGGGAGCTCTTTCCACGCAATTCCCAACTGTGCAAAGACTCCCTGCTTCTCCCCAGCCTGCAGAGCTGCTGCCTCACCCAGCCAGGATGTGTTGGCTCTGCAGGAGAGCAGAGGAGGGAAGTGCTGCTGGTCTCCACTGCCTGCTGTGGGCACAGTCCTGCTGCCCTGGAGGCACCCAAAATATCTCTGTGCTTTGGCACAGCACGGTGCCAGGCAGGCTCAGAGCAGGTCCCACCCTGCCAAAGCTCCGTGAAATCCTCTTCAAGTGATGCCCAAACAGCAAAGCCAGGCCAGGCCGTGGCTCCCAGGACACTTTCTCTTGCACAAGTCCCCACTGTGAGACCCCAGGTTTGGTCCTGCTCCTGGAGAAATCCATGGGAGCTCTCCCATTGTGCAGACTGGCATTTCCACAGGGTGAAGAACTTACCACCCAGTTAGTAAATCCCACCCCTCACCCCCCTGACCACCCAAGCATCTCCCCAAATCTCAGGGAGGTTTCTGAAAGCTCAGCTCTGCACAGGCAAACGTTTTCCAGCCCAGTAACAGCCACGCTGGGATCATCCTGGGCCATTCCTCACTTCCAACAAGTCTTATTTAGCCATGTGCTTCCATGGAGAGCCAGTCAATAGATTTGTTTGGCTGTAGATGTGCAGCTGCAGGAGCGAGCTGTGCAGGAAGTTTATTAAGCTTGGTTAATTTTCTAATGGCCGCAGTGCTGATGGATGGGAGCCGCGCCGGCTTCCTGCTCCACTTGGAAGTCAAATAAAAATAATCACGCTGATGGGAAAATATATTTCTTGTAGCTGCAGCAGATAATATATGAGATGTGAGTACCTGCCAAGCGTCTCTCTCTGGTAACATTCCCAGGGTCAGGGCTGGGCCTGTGCTGTTCCACCGGGGATTTCAGGGTAAACAACCGCCCCAGGGGTTTGCAAGATCTCTGTTGTTCCAGTGTCATTCCTGCTGGGAGGCTCTGCTGGGATGAGGATGGGGCAGAGAGGGTCTCTGGTACTGCTGCCCAGGGTGGGTCTGGCTGCTGCGTTTGGGGTCTCACCTGCAGCCCTCCCACCTGGAGAAGAGGGCCCAGGTGAGGGCTGGGTGAGGAATTGCCTTCTAGCAATAGCTGCCATGGACCCAAGCGCTGTGCCAGCGCTGAGAGGTGGCTGTGCTGGAGCCTTGGCCAGCACACTGCAGCTCAGCCCCAGTTTGAGCAGTCTCTGGAGTGGTGGGACCTGCACCCCTCTCCTCAGGCCAGACTCAGAGCCACTCAGTTCCATCGAAAGGCATCCCAAAACCTCCTGCTCAGAAAACCACAGCAGGCAGGGATTATCCAAGAGGAATTTAACTCACTTCTCTGCGATAAACTCCGGTTAGGGAGATTACGAGTGTTTACCCAAGAAGTAAATATTGCTCAGTGCTCAGCTGCTGCCAGACACCAGGGAAAGGGCTGGTGGCAGGGCCAGGCTGCCAGGGATCCTGCAGCACCCCAGGAGTGCTGACAGGCACCTGCCATCCTCGTTAATTCCTGCCCATCCCTGCTGCCTGGCTGCTGCACCCTTCTCCTTGGGACAGGGCTGGCACATGAACTCCACTCTGCACATCTGCTTGGGAGAATTATATTGGAAACTTGTGAACTGGTGCACTGCCCCGTGCCTGGAAGTGGCTAAGGGAAAGGATGGGGCTTGCAGCAGCCTGGGCTGAGGGTTGAAATGAGATGGACTTTAAGGCCCCTTCCAACCCAAACCATTCTGGGATTCTCTGATGGGCTCAGAGAAAAGCTGTACTCAGCAAAGCTCTGTACAGCTGAAATCAGGCCGAGTTACCAGACCCAGATCTCCCAACTGCTGCTCTGAAGCCGCCAGACCTCCTCGGCTGTGATGATAGGGACACACCTTTGGTGAAGAGCATTTGCAGCCCCCCAGGTCCCTCCTAGAGAGTTTCTGCTGGTGCTTGTCCCAGCAGGGCGTGCAGCGGGCACAGGGCGCTGCAGAGGATGCCAGCAGAAGACAGACAGACCTCGTTTGTCTTTCCAATTCCCCTCCTTTGTGGTATGGGGGCTCCCCTCCCTGCCTGGGGTGCTTATCTCCCCTCCAGGTGTCAAAGCCCACTGATCAGCTCCATCACAGGACTCCCATTAGCCAGGCCAGCTCCGGGCTGTCACCGCCGCCTCTGCAGATGTTCCCGAGGCCGGCGGGTGATTTAGAGGGGACCATTCACATTCACAGTCATCGCTTCAAATAAACAGGCTGAGAGTTTAATGATTTCAAGGTAAAGCTCTTTTATTAAGACAACACAGAGAACTTTTTTCAACCACAGCTGACATCACTGTAATAAATCACCATCATGTCTTGTGGGATTGAAAAAGCCAAAATACTGTCAGAACTGATTTTTCTGGCTACTCGTGCCTCCAGAACAAACCATGTGTTTTTAATCAACAAATCTTTGTTTTGCATTTCTAAGACCCTAGCACTCTTTAAATAGTTAGCATTTACCAGAGGGATATTTTAAATTCAACACACTGCTTCCTTACTGGAGAGATTAGGAAACAGGACACCACATTACAGCCTTACCCTGCCTGTCCGGGGCTCTTGGAAATTTGTTTTTGTTACATCCATGCAGCATGGGAAGGGCTTTCCCATGCTTGTCTCTAGCTTCATTAGACCTTTTTTCCCCAAAATCAGAACATTTACTGTTGGTATCAACCAAACCATCCACTGAGACATCATGAAAACCATCTCTGTGCAAAACTGGGAGAAAAAGTAACGGGAACACCACGAGATCCGGGGAGTCTGCAGCAGGCCCTGGGAGCCAGGGCCATGAGAACCCTTTGCCCACCATCCCTCGGGCATCCTTGCCCTCATTGCCTGGAGGAGCTCCTGCAGAGCAGGTTCTGGGCTGGTCTGAGCACGGCTGGGGCTGTCCCCGCTGTCACCCAGCGCTGCTGGCCCGTGCCTGGGGCGTGCCAGGCTTTCCCACCCTGCTTCCCCCATGGTGCTGTGAGCCAGAGGGGCTCAGCTCCCTGCTCTGGTTTCAAGGTCAGGCTGAAAGCAGAGACGCTGGGATCCTCTTTCAGGCTGTCCAGGGACCGCTCCGGCAGTGGGGACATGCTCTGCCTGCTTGGCACAAATGTCAGGGCTGAGAATAACCCGGGCCAAGGTGCCCACGCCAATCACGGGGAGAGGCAGCCGGCAGTGCCCACAGGGCGTGACCCCAACCCACGGGGAGCAGCCTCAGGGCCATGGGGTGCTGTGAGAGGCCAGTCTGGACCTGATCCCCACCTGCTTCCCAGTGGGTTTGGTCTGGAATCCTGCTGGCAAGGGGCTGGGTGACCCTTGTCGCCACAGAGGACACCATTGAGTGCTGCTGCCTGCTCTCCCCCTGGTGCTACAAATGTGGCACTTGGGGTCAGGGTGAGGCACTCAGGGATGTGGTTTAGGAGTGATTATGGTGGTGCTGCGTTGATGGCTGGACTGGATGATCCCGGAGATCTCCAGCCTTGATGATTCTGTGCCTCCGATTGTGCCAGGCTGGTGACAAATCGTCACAGGGCCACAGGCCAGGCTCTCAGCCAGGACAGTGGCAGCAGGGAGAGGTGGGGACACCACTCAGGGTACCCCATTGTCTGCCAACCTCAGCCCACCAACAGCCCTTTGGGCTGGGGCAGGAGGAGGGAAACACGGTGAGCTCCTTGGACCAGTGGAGGGGGACAAGGTGACCTCCTCGGACTGGTGGAGGGGGACAAGATGACCTCCTTGGACCAGTTGGACGGGGACAAGATGAGCTCCTTGGACCAGGTGGAGGGGGACAAGGTGACCTCCTCGGACCAGGTGGAGGGGGACCAGGTGACCTCCTCAGATCCCGCTCCACACCGCTGACAGGGCTGAGCATCCCCACCGCTCGCTCGGCCACCTTCCCCCAGGACAGCAGCACGACCCTCGGACTGGGGATGAACTTTCCCCTTCCAACGAACTCGGGCTGGCCCCGGCACCTCCTGGGCTGACCCCGGGCCGGCAGCCGAGCCCCCCTCCCCTCCCCACCCCACGGACCCCCTGCAGGCGGCATAAAAGCGCCCTGGGCGCGGGGACCGCTCCATCACCCTCCCACGCAGCCGGCCGAGATCAAAGCCCGTGGCGGGAATCAAAGCATGTGACAGGCAGGTGTCCGTCCCCTCGACAGGGCCGCGATTAATCACAGGGTCTATCCCACAAGGAGATCAAACCGGCCCTCCTGCGGCTGCTGCTTAAAGCCTGCCTTCAAGTTCCCCTAATTAAAGTTTTCCCCCGGCCTCCCCCGTGCCTGCCCGGCTGACTGCTGTCCCATGACCGCCCCTTTCACTCGCTAAAACAAAGGATGCTCTGAGCAGCTCCGGGCAGCCGCAGCGGCCGCCCCGGCCATGCTTGGCCGCTCCTTTCTTCTGGGGCCGCGGCAGAGCCGGAGCCTGGCAGGGGACCCTTCCCCACCGCCCCGAGCCCTGCGCCCACCCGGGCACCCCGGCACAGCCTCCTCTGGTACCCTGCTCATTTCATCCTCCACCTTTACATCGCCCGAAATTCCGGGTAGTTCTGCCAGGTCCGCAACTCTGCACTTTTCCTCCTGTTAAACTGGGAGAATCGGCTGAAAAGCATCACTCAAAGTGTTTTCAGACCCACGGAACAGCGGTGGGACTGCGTGCTCTGCCGTCTCTTCTTGCCGTGACATCAATAGCGGCATTTTGATGAGAAGCAAAGGAATTGCTCCCCTCCGGCGAGGCTTCGCTTTGAAATGCTGCAGGGCTGCATAAAAGCGATCCAGGGGAGGACCAAACCGTTTCTGTAACCAAAAACTCCGAAAGGGGGGTTAAATGCACATTTTAGACATGTCACATTTTGAAGAAGTTTCCAGGTTTTCCCTTCCCCTTAAATGTGCGCATTAGCTCACTCACGCAGGGGGAAAAGGAAAGGGGAAGATCACACGGTTTCACGGCGAGGCCACTCACAGT